ACTAAAGCAACTGTTTTACCAGATGAAATTTTGAGTGATAGATTATTAAGAACCTATACAATAAAACAAACATTAAATCGTACAACACATTCAAAACAAAATAGAAAATAATACAGATGTTTCTTGTCGTGCAGGATAGGTGAAAGTGACATTATCAAATTCAATATCACCAATAATTTGTTGTGGTTTATCACCTTCATCATTCATTGCATCAATTTTTGTTTGCTGAATAAAAAACAAACAAATGCTTTTTATAGAATTGTAATTAAATGATTATCAACTTACTCGATCAAGTGTCTCAAATACATAACTTCCACTACCTAATGCTTCTGCAAAATTTTGAAAATTCGGAATAAATTGTGCCGTACTTGTTGTTGCAACCTAATGAATATAAATATTAATTATTGGAAATATATTTTATTCATTTAACAAGATGTCATACCATACATGCAACAAATACCTATAATTATAAGATTTTAAATGAGACAATAAATAATAAAAAATATGTATAATCTATTTACCACAAGGACTGTACCACCTGTATAAGTCATACATTCAGTTCGCATAAGTTTTGGACCATACCTAAAATTATTTGGGAAAAAAATTTAACTTAAAAAAATAAAGACAATTTGAATTAAATACCAAAGTGTAACTGTAAATGCCATAAAAGTAAAAATTTGTGACAAACATTGACTAATTCCAATATATATACCTTTTTTAATGCCAATTTTTTTTGCTACATTCAAATTCGTGACAAATCTATATCAAACAAAAATGAAGATGTAAACAATCGTTGATAAATCAGTATCATTTACCTTTCTTCTTCTTTTGCTTGACCATGAAATGCTGTGACCGTTCGAATGTTTTGTATTACTTCTTGAGCTATTGATGATGCTACTGCAAAAGCTTTAATTTCTTTAATAGTAAATTTTATAATGACCTGAAATAAAATTTCATTGATAATGGAATAGTATCATAAATTCTAAGTTTTCATACTAAAACTGTTACGTTGAAAGTAATAATTATAAGTGGCGAAATAGATAAAAAGACAAGTGTTAACTTCCATCCTGCTGCAAGAGAATAAATGACTGCACCCAACATACGAGATAGAAGAGAAATAAAATCTGGCACTTGATCACTAGAATTAAATAATGTCATAATAAATCAATTTTATTGAATTTAGATACTTGATTCCATCTTTGATTTTATCTATAAATATAAAAAAATAAAATAAAATAATTTAACAGAATTAAATATTGTGATTTACTTTCTTACCTAAATCGTCAATAAGACGATTACTTAATTCTCCTGCATTATGTACATCAAACCATCCAATTTCTTGTCGTAAAATATTTCGAAAAAGAGCATAACTGAAAATATTATCTCTATGAGAAACCTATTATTCTATATGAAAAATTACAAACCGAATGCGTCGAACTTGTCTTTCGGCAGCTAGCAGCCACGTTGACCAAGCGATCCAATAACAAAGGATGCTAGAAAATCCAATAATAACATAATATCTTATAATTTTAAGTATAGCTTCATGAATTGATTCAGTATTCGCAGCTTTATTTGGTACAACAAAACTATGAAATAACAATAGGAAAAAAGCAGAAAATAAAAAAATAAAGTATATGTAATTACCATTCACTGGATTGTCTGATAATATCATTAACAGCAGTAACATTTGTCTGTATTTTTCCTATATCAAGTAGATTATTTATCACTCCTCGATAAAGATACAACATAACTGGAAAAAGTCCTAATGAACATAAAACAATATATTCTATGAATTACTTCTCCACGATATATTTCTATCACTTACCGCCAGCTGCTATTGCTGAATAGAAAACAATAATAGAATTTAAAAAAATACAAAATGATATAGAAAATTAAAGTAGAACTAACCGGCTATTGCACCAATAATCATTAATAAAATATCCCATTTATCAGCAAATCTAAAAATTTCATGCATTTTCAAACGACGAGCTTTAGGTTTTTTAGGTTCTTTTGATTGACGAAAAAAACTATAATGAATATAAATAAAAAAGTAAATAATATATTTTCAACAAGGGAAAAAAACTAACGGGATTTTTGAAAGAGAAATTAATTGTTTAGAACGAACGGATGTATGTTGAGTCATTTCAGCTGCACCTGGAGGATCACTTATATCAGCCTGTATTTGTTGAAGTGCATCGATATCATCTAATTCTTCTTCCAATTGTTTTTCTTGAGCGTCATTACTTAAATCATTGTTATCATCAAGATGATTATCATTAGGATGAATATCATGAAGAGGATTATCATGAGGATGATTACCATGAGGATGAATATCATGAGGCTGATTATCATGAGGATGATTACCATGAGGATGAGTATCATGAGGCTGATTATCGTGAGAATGATTATCATGAGGCTGATTATCGTGAGAATGATCATCATGAGGCTGATTATCATGAAGAGGATTATCATGAGGCTGATTATCATGAGGCTGATTATCATGAAGAGGATTATCACGAGGCTGATTATCATGAGGAGAATTATCATGAAGAGGATTATAATGAAGAGGATTATAATGAAGAGGATTATCATGAGGATCAATATCATGAGGATAATTATCATGAGGATGAGTATCATGAAGATGAATATCATGAGGCTGATTAACATGAGGCTGATTATCATGAAGAGGATTATCATGAAGAGGATTATCATGAAGAGGATTATCATGAAGAGGATTATCATGAAGAGGATTATCATGTGGCTGATTATCATGAAGATGATTATCATGAGGATGAGTGTCATGAGGCTGATTATCATGAAAATGATTATCATGAGGATGATCATCATGAGGATGACTATCATGAGGATAATTATCATAAGAATGATCGATGATTACGTATTCATTTGGAATAGAAATTTCATTTGAATAATGTCTGTAGCAAAAAAAATATATTTACCTAAATAGCGATTAAAATTTTTCATTACTTTTGAGAAACATTGTTCATATGTTTATCAATAGATTCATGTTTAGGTTGATCATCATGAATGGATGATGGATTACTATTAATATCGTCGGATTTGATTTCAGTAGTGGAATCGGACATGTTATTATTTTTATTCAGTAGATATATTCAAATGAGACTTATATAAAATCTTTACCAACGTCGCTTAGCTACGAGAGAAATATGGAATTATCTATTAATAACAATAGCAGTAAAACTACCTTTATCAATAAGAGTAAATAATCATCGTCTATCTATGTACGTACTTATTTCGTTTAGTTAAAGAAAAAGAAACTTATATATGGGTGTGCATGATCGAAAGAGGATATTATACATGCATTGAATAACGAGTCACGCTTTTGATAATACTTTCGTACGTTTCAGTACGGTAGGTAAAGAAACG